GGGGGGGGGGGGGAACCAGGCAGCCCATCCTTGATCTCTAACATTGACACTGATAAAACACTCCTTAAATATTTAACATGCCCTGAAAACTCTGTTCTTTAGGTATCCGGCTGCAGAACCAGCGGTTGGGAGTTATTTCTCACTGTGTTTCCTTGAAAGAGGCTGGACCTAATTATCCATAGGGTCCCTTCCAGTTCTAAGACTATTATTAAATAATTGTGGGCTGTCAAGTCAATTACCGCTTTCCTAGGTAGAGGGTGCTCAGAAGTGGTTTTCCATTTCCTTCTCTGGGGGGATCCTGAAGCAGTTTGCCCAAGGACACCCAGGCTGGCTCGTCCAGGAGGCACAGCGGGGAACTGTACTGCCAACCTCTGGCTCTGTAGCCAGATGCCTAATTCTCTGAACTATCCAGCCAGCTTCAAGACACTATTAGGGTCACTGAAAGTCAGATGTGACAAGGCAGCACATGACGTTACGTAACTGCACAACTGTAACTGCTGATGTGGACAAACTCAGTGACTCTTCACCTTAGCTGTGTCACTCACACACAACTTCAATGTTTTGCTTCTAAAATGTTAAAGCAGTGGTTCTTAACCTTTGTTACTCAGATGCTTTTGAACTGCAACTCCCAGAAACCCCAGTCAGGACAGCTGGTGGTGAAGGCTTCTGGGAGTTGCAGTCCAAACCTCCTGAGTAACCCAAGGTTGAGAACCAGTGTGTTAAAGTTAAACCATCTCAAAAACCTGTACATGTTTGGAGTGCCAAAGAAATGAAATCTTGAACTTGAAGGGGGGGGAGGCCATCTCACCCATAAAAATGGTGTTGTAGCTCTCTTGCATCACTTCTCTGTAGAGGCTTCCTTGATCAGAGGCCAAGAGATCCTGCTCTATCTGAAAGACAGAGATAAGTTTCAAAGAATGGCAGGGAACACAATAACTACCCAATTCCTTCCCCACCCCACCCTCCAGCACAACCCCTCAGGGCAGGGTGTAGGGAGGCTGTTACTTATTCACCTGAGCTGATACTGCTTTGGCCATTGTCATCCAAACGGGCTGGTCTTCACATGGAAAAGATCTAGATGGGGTAAAGTAGGAGAGTTGAGGGGGAAAAACAGAAATGAGATGTCTGGTGGGGGAGTTTCAAGCTCCTGCCTCTTTTCTGCTGATACAGTCTCTGCCCTAAACAATGTTCAGTCAAAGGTTCCGACTAGGCCCTTTGAAATGAATCTTCACATGAATCCCTTCAGGCAAAAGGGTTCTCTCAAAGGGATCATCTTTCTCCTTTCAAAGGCCTCCATTAGTGTTGGAAAACATGTTTTGAAAGAAAGTGGAAACAACTTATTGAGGGACACCCAGTCTTCCTACCTAGCCTACACAATTCATTCCCTGCTCCCTCCTCATCTTTTTTCCTTCTTTAAAACCCAACTGTTCCTTTAAAACCCTTGGCATAACCGTCAGCCTTTACCCTCTTCTGAAGCACAGCCTGTGTAAATAAACGGCTGTGTTGAAAATAAAATTCCAAAATCTGAAATATTTTTGCACGGACAAGTCAAAATGTCACAAAACAGAGGGACTTTCCAGTTCTCTAGAACTCTTGAGTTTGTTATTGAACATGCAAACTCTGCATTTAATTGCGATCTTAATACACTGTGATGGAAGAGAAGCAAACTCCCAGTGCGGTCCCTTTCATGCCTACTGAGAAGTCCTACTGTGCTCAAAAGGGTTCACCCCAATGTTAAATGTGTATATGCTGGCAGCCCATGCTGGAGAATCAATCTGGTGCAGATACTGGAACTGTAGAGATGAAATAGGTCAGAGGTGGAGACATGTGGCCCCTGAAATGTGGCTGGACTGCAGTTCCCACAATCCCACATTGCAGCCATGATTGAGGCTGATGGGTAGCTGCCTACCCTGGAGCAAGACAATCACGTTCAATCTCACCCTTCAGCCATTAAGCTCACTGCATCACCTATCAATATTAATATCTCCTAGCATAGCCCATTTTCTATGGTTGTGAGGGGAAAGGAGAGAATAATGATTTTTTTGTTTCCTTGAATTCCTTGGAGAAAAGGTGAGAAATATTAAGAATCAATGAATTAATAAATATAGTTCTTGCCTGCTAGAGGCTACACATTTTCTCCAGCCCAGTGTGTTTTGTTTAAGATTGGAGGTAGATTTTACTGATCCTTGGCTTTCATTAAGAAAAAAAGAGGAAAAAATGGAAGACTGACCATTGTTTCCTTCTTTGCTCAGGTATTCATTGTTGCAACCTGAAACCTATGCAATACATAAGAAAAAGACGTGCCTGGAGAAATCCATCTTGCCATGAACTTTTGGACTTTGAAGTTCTTCACATGCCTGATGAAGTGGATGGTCCTGATCTACAAAAGTTTGCAGTTTGTATGATGCTTTTTCAAGTGGTCTATAAAGGTATTGCCGACTTTTAAATCTGTGTTTTGTATTGACCACATGGCTCCCTTTTATTTCAATAGAATTATGAGGATACCTCACAGAGCCCAATTGTAATAATTCAGCCAGCTCTCCAATTTAAAACTGTGACTAAATGCAGAAGTGGCCGCTTCAATATCAAGCCAGCTTTTCCTCCCACCTTCCACTCTGCTTGATGTCCAGCCCGATGAAGCGTTCTGGAGAACTCTAAACCTTTCTCCTTATCTGGCAACATTCTGATCTGTCCTAACCAAAGCATGGCTGCCTTGACCAACCATGCATTTTGGAATATATGTGGACATTTACTGTTTCCTTGATTGCTGCTCTCCCCCCTTTTTTCACATCCTACACTCAATTTGGGTTCTTGTAGGCAGAAACCTGCATTTTGCTTTCTGTGGCTCTGTAAAACGTATATACAGGGAGCATAATAAAGAAGAAAGGCAACAGCAAACAATAACAAAACAATAATTATACTCAGGGACACTGTGGGCTATTCATTCCTTCCCTCCTCTCCACTTCTCTGAATCCCAGGTATTTAAATTTGTATTAGGGCTCTGGGCCTGGAGCAGTGGAGTTCCTCTGAGCATATCCAAAGCATTTTCTCCCACCACTAAGGAATCGCCACAGATCTCCGTTTTGGAGGAGGTGGGGGCAGAGCTTTAACACCGGAGCTCAAGGCCTACACATCCAAGCTTATTCAGAGCGTGAGATTAAAATCGACAAAATCATTTTTAGAACGGCAAGACCTCATCTTCAGGCGGTACCCATGGGGCACCCAAACGAGTCATAAAACAGACACACACACACACAAAAGAGGAGATTGAGGAGGGGCAGGATTTTCGGACAGATCCCCCCCTCTTTTTTTCCCATGGCTCAGTCATGGAGCTTGAACACTCCTCCCCTCTCGCTGCAGAAAGAAATCGGTGGCTAATCCCAGGAAAGTTGCAGGAACCTACCCCCCACCCCAATAAATGCTCCTTTTCTTTAAAATTATCCCACCACGACCCCTCACCCACCGTGGCTGCGGGGGATCTGCTTTGCAGCCCCACTAGCAGATCTCTTCCCGCCTGCGCATCTGGCAAAAAAGACATTTCCCCCCCCCCAATTCCTTTGCCGCCCCGTTTCCGCCGCCGCCGCCTCCCTCCATTCATTTTACCCGAGAAGGGGGGGGGGGTGGAAGGTCTTTCCAGCAGAAATGGCAGCAGCGTCCGGTTCCAACCGGAGTCTGCCCCCCCTCACCTTTAAGTTCTGCAGCAAAACTCCCATCACGGCAGGTATAGACAAAAGAAAGACAAATTTCCTTCCCCTGCTTAGAAGGAAAAAAAAGAGAGAGAGAGAGAGGGAGAAATCAAGCAGGGAAAGAGGGCGGCCGGGAGGGAGGAGCTGGAATCCCGGATCACAATGGAGTCAGCAGCAGCATCTGAACTTAAAAATGCTCAGCCCCCAACATGGGGACGGCGAAGGGAAGAGAAGGCCAGCAAGCCTAGCCTCCCCTCCCTCCGAAGGAACCCGGTTACAGAGACCTCTGGCGGCAAAGGATGAATGGGGCAAGCGCTTCGAGCCGTTTCCTAGTCTGCCTCCGCTTTTATGTAGGGAAATAGCATTCATTTTAGGGCTAGGGGGGAATCGATGGTGTTCCTGAGAGACTACACTTCCCATAGTCCTTTACCACTTACCCGGGCTGGCTAGGGCTTCTGGGAAGGGAAGCCCCAAAACTTCCGGGACCCCGAAGGTTCAGCCTGCGCATCCATCCGTGCTCTATGATACGTCTCGATTCCAGAGTCTCTAATGGGAACACAGATTTGAAAGGCAATTTTATGCGGCCTGTTATGTTTCCATTTCCTTTTCCTAAGAGGATTTAGTATTGCTACATTTGCTCAGGGGTCTTCAGTGAAGGACCTTTTCTAGCTCAAGAAAGCATGTTTACAGAAAAACCACTAATATAAATTTGAAAAAGTTACCAAGAGGAGACTTAACCTGTACATCAACCATGACATTTTTTTCCCCAGTAGGAACTGTCATTCTGTGTGGTCAGTAATTTCATCTTTAATAACATTTTCCACCAGGTTACACTTCTCCCTTCAACAGCCATGGAATTAGGGGCGCTGAACCCCTGAGTAGTTCAAAGTCCATAGAATCATAGAAAAGTATAGTTGGAAGGGGCCTTACAAGGCCATCAAGTCCAACCTGCTGCTCACTGTTGGAATACAATCAAAGCATATCTGCCAGGTGATTATTTATTTTTTATTTTTATTTATTTGATTTATACCCCGCCTATCACCTGGACCACTGGACCACTCTAGGCAGCTTCCAACATAAAGTTTAAACAATAAAACACAACAAATACATAAATAATACAAAACTACAATAAAATAAAAATAGGAAAAATAAGAAGAAGAAAATCAAGAATTGGCTGGAGGGAAGGCCTGAATGAAGAACCATGTTTTTAATTGGGTTTAAAGATTGGGTTTTAAAGACTTATCCAAGTCTTTCTTGAATGCACCCAGTGTTGGAGCACTCACCACTGTCTGTACTGCTCTAACAGTTAGAAAGTTTCCCCTGATATTCAACCGAAATCTGGCTTCCTTTAACTTGAGCCCATTGCTGTGTGTCCTGCACTCTGGGATGATTGAGAACAGATTTTGCCCCTCCTCTCTATGACAGCCTTTCAATACAGTACACTATTTGAAAAGTGCTATCGCCCTCAGTCGTCTTTTCTCAAGGCTAAACATGCCTAGTTCTTTCAACCTTTCCTCATAAGGCTTGGTTTCCAACCTCCTGATCATCCTCTGAACCCGTTCTAATTTGTTAGCATCCTTCTTGAAGTGTGGTGTCCAGAACTGGACACAATACTCAAGGTGAGGCCTAACTAGTGCTGAATAGAAGGGGACTAGCACCTCGCGGGATTTGGAAACTATACTTCTATTAATGCAGCCTAAAATAGTATTTGCCTTTTTTGTAGCCACACCACACTGTTGGCTCATATTTAGCTTGTGATCTACGATGATTCCAAGATCCTTCTCGTTCGTAGTTTTGCTGAGCCAGGTATCCCCCATCTTCTAACTGTGCAATTGGTTTCTTTTTCTGAGGTGCAGTACTTTGCACTTATCCCTGTTGAATTTCATTCTGTTGCTTTTGGCCCAGTGCTCCATCGCATCAAGGTGATTTTGAATTTTGTTTCTGTCTTCTAGGGCAGCGGTCCCCAACCTTTTTCAGTCCGCGGATCGGCTGGGGAAGGCGGGGCACCCCCTGTGCTTGTGTGCATGCACAAACAACAGTGCCGCCATTTGCATACATGCGCAAGTACGCGCAGATGCGTAAACAGCCTTTGCGGGGGTGAGTGTGGGGGGGTCAAGGGGCTCTTCAAATTGGGAGAGGCCATGATGCACTGCCTGCCTCCAGGCTGAATGCTCAGATGGCAAGGTTTCCGATGTGTTGAGGTCCATTCCTAAGGCCTTCAGATCCCGCTTGCAGATATCCTTGTATCAGAGCCGTGGTCTCCCTCTGGGACGATTTCCCTGCACTAATTCTCCATACAAGAGATCTTTTGGAATTCGACCATCAGCCATTCTCATGACATGCCCAAGCCAACGTAGACATCACTGTTTCAGCAATGTATACATGCTAAAAATTCCAGCTCGTTCGAAGACTACTCCATTTGGGACTTTGTCCTGCCAGGTGATACCAAAAATGCATCTGAGACAATGCATATGAAACGTGTTCAGCTTCCTCTCCTGCAGTGCACAAAGGATCTAGGACTCACTGCAGTACAGGAGTGTACTCAGGACACAGACTCTATAGACCTGGATCTTGATATATGCCGTCAACTTCTTATTAAGCCATACTCTCTTTGTGAGTCTAGAGAACATGGTAGCTGCTTTGCCAATGCATTTATCCAGCTCAACATCTAAGGAGAGGGTGTCAGAGATCATTGAGCCAAGGTATACAGTCATGAGCAACCTCCAATTCTTGTGTGGAGTTGGTAATAGAGGGAGGCGAGTCCACGCCCTGGCTTATCAACTCCTAGATGATGGCTAAAATCAAGGAAAAAAATTCTGCACACATTTCAAGCACTAAATATGAAACCAGAAGAGGCTAGGCTAAACCTATGGAGAACAAAAACAACACACCTTGCTGAACGGATGAATGCTGAAGAGTGTCTCCCATGAGGACAAAACTCTAGCTGAAAGTCATTTAATCAACTCTGAAGCAAAGAAGGTAGATTAAAAAAAATACTCACGTAATATGGGGCTACAGTACTTGGATGCATGACAAATTTTCTGTGTTTTTGTCAATGCAACGCTTTGTGCATGCAATTTATGCTGCACCACCCATACAAAAGAAGATCTAGCAGATGGCCCAGATACTGTAAGTCTATTAAAGCAGCCTGCTTCTGGTAAAAAAAAAATACTCTAGTCATCTTAACATTTCAATTTGTTTTTAATTTAATCTATATTTCATTCGCATCCATAATTCAGAATTGTGCAACACTCTACTTGGAATAAAAACAGATTTAAAGCAGTGATTCTCAACATTGTCTTGACATGAATGTGGTGTTGGGAGTTAGCCTACAAAGTGTCAACACATCTGGTTTTGGACCAACATTCCCTCTAAGCTGCGCAGCATTGTGTCGGGCGCATGCATCCACAGCCCAGTGTTTCCACCCCTTTGGTTCCGATCACAGAACGTATACTTTGCTTGTGGTTTCACCTCAGCAACTGTTTCACCTCATAAACTCTGATTTGCCTCAGACTGACTGTTTCCTGACAATTTTATCTCAGACTAGCTTCAGCTCTGCCTCTCTGACTGAGACCTTTTTAGTTTTTACTTTAGAATTTGACCTCTGAATTTATTCTGGGTTTTTAGTTTTATGTAGACTTTATTTTTCTATGCGCTTTTATCTTTCTATGGGCTTTTTACTTAGTCTGAGCCATCATAACAATGTGGGTTACCACACACTTGGTTACCACACGTTGGGACTGCCATAAACTGGACTGCCACAGTCTGGGCTCCTACAATCTTGATTCTGGGCCTGCCACACCATAGTAAGTAATCTCTTGTGCTTTGGGTTAAAACATTAAATAACATTTACTACTTAGAAACATATGTAAAATATAACATATCTTCATAGTGCTTAGACAATTGGCATTTGTCATACATATTGTTGATTTATTGACATACATGTTTAATAAATAACTAACTTTCATATTGTTATACTATTACATTTGGAAGCCCTATGTGGCCCTATAAAATCCTGTCAGTGAAATCTTTATCCTTGTCAGCCCTATCTGATCACTATTACAAGTTTTAATCCCTGGCTTGTATTGGATCATTGTCTGAGACCCTGTCAGACCTATTACTGTACATGTTTGTCCCTCAATCACATATTTATCCCTATCTAACAGATTTCTAGTTCAGCAGTCCCCAACCTTTTTGGGGCCACGGACCAGCAGGAGGGAATGAACTCCATGTGTGGAGGGGCAGGGGCACCACCGTGCGAGCGCGTCACTCCCCCGAGTGCAACATGCCCACCATGCAAGTGTGACACGCCCACCATGCGAGCATGACACGCCCAGCGCACGTGCATGCGGGGGAGTGGAGATCCGTATCCACGGCCCAGTTCTGGCAAGCCCACAGACCGGCACCAGGCCGTGGGTTGACAACCCCTGTTCTAATTGACACTTGCCTTATATGGCTACCTGGCTGACCCCAGACACATTCTTTTTGGTCAGAATGCTGTGTTGTGTAAATACAGCATTCTGGTATTCCATAGCAAACACATTTAAATATACATATATGCATATACATTGTGTTGTATAATTATACATACTAACAATATCTATTTGTCAATTGACAAATAGGTAACACACAACGTAAGCAGCATTTTAAAATGCACTTCACTTTCCCCCCTTCTCCATTTTATATATCATCATTCTGTTTACTTTTTCTCCTGAAAATTGGCATGAAACTGAATGAGCTCCTTCTGCCTTGTTATCAGTAGCTTTATTCCAAAACAAATGAAGTGTTTTGGTTTTGTAATATAAACTATCTTCACAGAGCATATTTCCAATGGTACTTTCACTTCTCTCAGCAATCTCTAGGCACATTTTAAAAGAACGTCTCAGTTTTAGGGCACTCCTCTGCAGTCCCTAAACTTAGGATCTTTTGAATTCTTGACAAGCAGCAAATAGTGGTGTTGAACATTTGTGTCTGCCAAAAAGGTGACAGAGAAGCCTCTGGTTTAAGGTGGGACAGATAAGAGTGAAGCTTAAACTTGTTCCAGTGATGCCTTTGTGCAATCCAGCTACGGCAAAGAGGCCAAAAAATATGGTGGAGAAGGCCCCTTTCCCCCTAAAGAGCTGATTGTGCCAGAGATGCGATCAACACTCAGACTGACACAGTCAGCTTGGGCAGCGACAGTGCGGCTGCTTTTGCGGTTGGGAAAGAGATTTATGAAGAGTCCCAGACCCTGCCTTCCATATCCATATCTTGCAGCTCCGTCACATTTCAAGGAAGGGCTTACTCCTAAGCCCAATTTCCAGTAAAACTCTCCTGTGCAAAACAACATTGTAGTTGGGGAGAACTACCCAGTGACAGTGACAGATTTTACTTTCTTGGGCTCCATGATCATTGCGGGTGGTGACAGCAGCCACAAAATTAAAAGATGCTTGCTTCTTGGGAGGAAAGCGATGACAAACCTCAACAGCATCTTAAAAAGCAGAGACATCACCTTGCCGACAAAAGTCTGCATAGTCAAAGCTATGTTTTTTCCAGTAGCGATGTATGGAAGTGAGAGCTAGCCCATAAAGAAGGCTGACCACCGAAGAATTGATGCTTTTGAATTGTGGTGCTGGAGGAGACTCTTGAGAGTCCCCTGGACTGCAAGGAGAACAAACCTATCCATTCTGAAGGAAATCAACCCTGAGTGCTCTCTGGTCCACAGGGTTACGAAGAGCCAGACGTGACTTAACAATTAAACAACAACGAAAACCCTTCAAATACATGCACCTCTGACGTGGGGGAAGAGGAGGAGGTTGAGGGGACTCAGGTGGGCACTATTTCAGAAGTGGGCAATACTGAAATCACTCCTGCCCCTCCCGCTTCACTTGCTCTAACACTTGCCAGAACTGGTAGTGATGACAAGTTAGGAATCCCTATGAGTGTTGCAAAAATGCCTTTGTGTACATGACAAAACTGAAGAATCAAGTGTCAAAGACCAAGTGGAACAGTTTTATTCTGCAGAATAGGAGAATACATAGGGCTATTGTTTAAATGTTATACGTCTCTTCCCGATCAAGGGGAGAGGCACTTCTTAAGTGTACATCAGTTAGACACAGCTCCTCACTTACTTTTAAAACCAGTTTTGACTTAAAACCAATAGTTTCTGCTACCTCAGGATTTATCTTATTATTCATACATTCCAAGGTGTAGATAAGCAAGACCAAAATGTAAGAGGCAATTTCCTCACTAACTTAATTTCTAGATTACATGTTGCCTCTTCCTTGCTAAATTAATCTCTAAATTACACATTGCCAACAATATGACACCATTTTACAATTTTAATTATGCAAGCTACACATTGCTTGCCCACCCCCAAGTAAGCCAAGTACAGTACTCAATTTACCAACCTCAGAAGGCTGGAAGACTGAGTGAACCTTGAACCTGCTATCTGGGATTGAATCCAAGTCATGAGTAGTACCACAAGACTCCTATACAAGTACAAAAGGATGCAGAAATAACATTTGAATTGTATGGTGCTTATATTTAAAAAGTAACTGTAAGCAGAAAGTATCTCTGTGTACCAAAATAGTAACAGAGAAAGTAAATTAAAGTTGATTACATTAATACAGAATAAAATAAACTATATTAGCATTTAATTTGCAGTAGTTGCATTTGATATTACATTAGGCAAAATTATCAGCAGTTTGAGATGTTACCTAGCTCAACCTAAAATGATGTTAGTACAATATCTTTACTGCAATATTTGACAAATAAGAAGCTGTTTAATTCAAGGAAACTATGATATACTGTACATTGAAATGAATTATTGTTTCGACTTCCCTTAATGAGAAGCATCACACTGATTTTTGGATACTGGATCAGCAATGAGAGAGGACCACTCATATCTGCACTTCTTAGAACAGATTCCAAATTCATATATGATGTTTTCCAAACTTCCTGCAGAGGCAAAAAAAACTTGAAATATGAAATTATAGATTACTTTTAAAATAATTTACGTAAAATAGCTCTCTCACATCTTATATAGGCTGTGTAGAAAAGAATCTGCAAAATAATTAATTTCACGAAACTACCACTGTTAATGAATGTTGAAAGCAGGAGGATACAAAAAACGTGAGGGCTGGGATTTTTGCCAGATACTGTCACAACTGAAAGGATGTGAATTGGCAACAGTGGACATTAATAAAATTATAACTGAATTAATCAGTAACTATTAATACACTATGAATTACAAGGAGCAATTTGCATCTACCTTTGCAAAAGAAGAATATAGATCAGAAATCACAAAATATTTTACAAATAAGAAATAGTCTAATTCAAGAAAATATGGAAGAATTGACTCCCGAACATAAAACGTTTTTAGAAGGAAAGAAGAACTAAAAATTATAAGAAAATTACAAACGATGAAGCCACTGGGTCAATTAGATGCAGAGGCAACTTTCATAAAACATTTGTAGATGCTAAGTGAGATACAGAGGGAAGTACCATCAAAATGATGATGAGAACCAACTCTGTTTCTCCCATCACTTCTGTCTGGGGAGATGAAATGGCTTCTCTGAGGTAGGTGGGAGCCAATAAACTGAATCCTGGTGGTACTTCTTTGGATAGGTGTCCAGCTACTAAATGTGCAGCAGATCTCAAATGACATTTTACCATATCTCTTGCCCTTTGAAAGAGCAGCTGTGTGGCTTGGGAGTATTCTTTGATCTGTTATTGGAAGCTCAGATGTCCTCAGTGGCAAAGGCCATCTTTTCTCAGCTCCATCTATAGCAGTGCTACCCAACCTTATGTTCCCCCATATGTTCTTGGACTACAACTCCCAGAAATCTGGACCAGCAATGCTAGTGGTGAAGGCTTCAGAGAGTTTTAGTCATGGAACATCTGGTCACCCAAGGATGGGAACCAGTACAGCAACCTGGTACAGCAGCTGTTTCTGGGCAGGAACAATCTGTACACAGTGGTTCGTATAGCAGTGCTACCCAACCTTATGTTCCCCCATATGTTCTTGGACTACAACTCCCAGAAATCTGGACCAGCAATGCTAGTGGTGAAGGCTTCAGAGAGTTTTAGTCATGGAACATCTGGTCACCCAAGGATGGGAACCAGTACAGCAACCTGGTACAGCAGCTGTTTCTGGGCAGGAACAATCTGTACACAGTGGTTCGTACTCACACCCCAACTTGATTACTGTCACATGTGAAACATGGGGCTGCTCTTGAAAGCAAAGGAGAAGCTTCAGCTAATGCAGAAGGCAGCAGCCAGATTTGTAAATGTGAATGGGTGTAGCAAGGGCAGAAGCATACTGCACTGATACCGAAGGAGCTCGAATGGCTACTTCTCAGTTCAGTGCAAGGCACGGAGGCTTACTGTTAAAGCCCTAAATGACTTGGGATACAAATATGTGGAGCAACGTCACTTCCAAGGGAGCCTGCTCATAACTTAGCAAACATGATCAGAAACAGTTCTTCTCCAAGTATCCTAGTCAGCTATAATGCACACCAACAAGACCGACAATCTTCCCCCTTTGTGGTGCCCTTGCTCCGGAGTGCCCTTACTAGGGAAATACAGCTTGTAACAATTTGATTTCAGTGTCAGGTTAAAGCCTTTCTGTTTGTCAAGGCATTTAAAGATACCTCATTTGTTCTTTATATTTTCCTGTTATTTAAAATAATGCCATATTCAGACATTTGAACTTCTTTAAATATTAGTTATTTAAGGTAAAGTTTCCCCTTGACATTTAGTCCAGTCGTGCCCGACTCTAGGGGGGCGGTGCTCATCCCCGTTTCCAAGCCATAGATCCAGCGTTTTGTCCGTAGACAGTTTCCGTGGTCATGGTCACGTGGCTAGCGTGACTTCCCACCAAGGGGGTACCTATTCATCTACTCGCATTTCGAACTGCTAGGTTGGCAGGATATTTTAGTTACTGATTAATTATTATTTTGATTATATTTGCACACTGCCCTGGCATCCACATGGGTGATGGATGGATTTAAATTATTAAATAATTATTAAATAAATAACATATTAACATAGTAATGTTGGCCTATGTACAATTAATTAACCAAACAATTCATCTCCAAAACCAGGCATTATGCAAACCCCTGGATAGGAACTTGTGGAACAGCAAATGGGAAGAATTGGTGTTCAGGTTCATCCAAATACCTTTGTACATGAGTCTTCTGCTAACCCAGAGATGTATGAACATTGTTCAGGAGGCATTCTTGCTTCCTTTAGTTATGCCTCTTGAAAGGCATGATAATAAAAAAGGGCAAGCTGGATGCTTTTAATTGATTGTATCCGTTTCAATACAACATGTTTCTGTGGAGGCAGCGATCAGCCTTGCTGAATGAAACGTAGGCACACATCTGACATTACCTTCAAGCTGGTGGAACCGGGAGAAGCTAGTTCTAGGAGTCTTCCACAAAGGGATACAGATCAGGACAGGGGAAGAAGTAAAACTCACCATATCTGCAAAAGGAGGAAGAAAGAAATTGCTACTTCATAGTGTTTCCTAGTGAGCACAAAAGAGGACTAAGTAAAACTGTATTGAGAGAGAGAGAGAGAGAGAGAGAGAATAGATGATGTGGATTCAGGCAACCTAGTAGTTCACTGGGTGGTCTTGAGACAGCCCATATCCATGCCTACCAAGGTTAGGTAGAATAAGTTCCTGGTGGATTGTCCTCAGTATATTTCCAGTCTGTGTCAGTCAAATGTACATCCATCCATTTTCTATTTTACACTGAAATAGTCTAGTGACACTCTCCTTTTCAATCTCCTGAGTATTTCCAACAGCAGAGGTAGTCGTTGTCGTTTAGTTGTGTCTGATTCTTCGTGACCCCATGACCAGAGCACGCCAGGCCCTCCTGTCTTCCACTGCCTCCCGGAGTTGTGTCAAATTAACGTTGGTTGCTTCGATGACACTGTCCAACCATCTCATCCTCTGTCGTCCCCTTCTCCTCTTGCCTTCACACTTTCCTAACATCAAGGTCTTTCCTAAGGAGTATTCTCTTCTCATGAGATGGCCAAAGTATTGAAGCCTCACTTTCAGGATCTGTCCTTCCAGTGAGCACTCAGGGTTGATTTCCTTCAGAATGGATAGGTTTGTTCTCATTGCAGTCCAGGTTTCTTCTCCTTGCAGTCCAGGGGACTCTCAAGAGTCTCCTCCAGCACAATTCAAAAGCATCAATTTTTCGGCGGTCAGCCTTCTTTATGGTCCAGCTCTCACTTCCTTACATTGCTACTGGAAAAACCACAGCTCTGACTATGCGAACCTTTGTCGGCAAGGTGATGTCTTTGGTTTTTAAGATGCTGTCTAGATTTGTGATCACTTTCCTCCGAAGAAGCAGGCATCTTTTAATTTTGTGGCTGCTGTCCCCATCTGCAGTGATCATGGAGCCCAAGAAAGTAAAAGTTGAGTCGCCTCTTGTGTTGTTGGAAAAGAGTGTTTGTGATGACCAGCTTTTTCTCTTAGCCTTTGCCCTGCTTCATTTTGAACTCCAAGGCCAAACTTATATGTTGTTCTTTTGATCTCTTGACTCCCTACTTTAGCATTCCAGTCCCTGATAATGAGAAGAACATCTTTCTCCGGTGTCAGTTCTAGAAGATGTTGTAAGTCTTCAGAGAATTGGTCAATTTCAGCCTCTTCAACATCGGTGGTTGGTGCATAAACTTGGATTACTGTGATGTTGAATGGTCTGCCTTGGATTCGTATTGAAATCATTCTGTCATTTTTGAGATTGTATCCCACTACAGCTTTTCCCACTCTTGTGACATTCTAACATTCAACAATTCCTGAACATGTAACATGAATATGGAATTGTTATGCATTCTTTGTCCGCATCCACATAAAATCGCAGGGCAAAAAGTAGGTTCAAGTAAATGTGTCCTTCTGTTCCTACAATAATTTCTTCCTCAGTTACGCATTCAGATTAAACAATTGTTTACATGTCAGTGATCATTCCCATGCCACTCCTTCTGCTTTTATCATACTTTCACAACCATACATATTTCACTCCATGAGTTAGCACTCTTTGTAGATACAGACTTGGTGTCATCTAATGAAGCCCTCAGAAACATTCAGAGAAACTGAAGATCATTACATTCTGCTTATTTTTCACTCTTAATGCACCAAGCTTATAATGGCCCAACAGCCATCAAATCACAATTTTTAGCAATAGGTCCCAGCAAGCAAGCAAGAGAGCAATGGAACGTATCCCTGCCTCTTCCCTCATGTTTTTCATACCACGATTCATTTTTCTACTTCCTAACAGCATACATACTTGAAAGTGAATTTGTGGTCCTTCACAAAGCCACTCCCCCAGGTGCAGTCCACAAGGTGCCACTTTCCATCAAGGTAAACAGTATTCCAAGCGTGTCTCTTTTTTTTCTTTAAGCCTTTTTTTGGCCCTTTCCCATTGGAGATACCTGCCAACTTCTGGCACTGTATTCCTGCAATGCTGAGAGGAATAAATTATAATTTAGAAACAACAATGTAATCCAGGGGATTGTAGTTGCTTTAATATTTCAGGAGTTGTTTTTTAAATCAACATACTTCATCTATTAGTTTTTGTGGGGAAGTCATTACATCTTACAGTTTCTGTATGATCCTCCCAAGGTTTCTTCCCCAAGCTTGTTTTGTAGTGATTTTAATATTAACTTAAAACAAAATTGCTGCACCAGTGTGGAGTGCCAATGTGTTATTAAGGCCTTGCAGGGCTATTACTTTTTTAAAATTAATAACTTTGTCCTTGGATTCTTACAAAAATACCTAAGTAATTACCATTTTACTGAATGCCAAAACAGAAAGGTACAGTATTTGAATATTAAAGAATTAAATAAATAATATAATATTAGATAATAGAATTAATAAAACAGATTTAAAGGAACAAAAATACAAACCTACAAAAAAACCTCTCCTTTTTGAAAAACTCTTCATAGGTGGCTAGTCAATAAGGGAAAGCCTGTCAGATGAGAAAAGTCTTTGCCTGCTTGTGGAAGGACAGCAAAAATGGGACCAACCTGTCTTGTGGGAGGAAGTTCCAAAGTCTGGAAGCAGGCACAGAGAAGGCCCTCTCCTGTGTCCCCACCAAACGCACCTGTGAAGGTAGTGGGAGCGAGTGATAAGGCTTCCCTGATGATCTTAACACCCAGACAAGCTCATAAAGGGAGAGGAGCAGGTCTACGAATTGGCAAATTACTAAATATCATTGCAAATAGATTCAGAAGTTTCACCATGCATGTGTAGGAAAATTCAGTCCCCCTTGGGGGTGCTCATGGATGTCTCTGAGCCTGAATGCCCAGGTTTCAGCAGTGACCAGGAATGCCTTTGCACAGTTGAATCTGGTGCATCAGCTGCACCCCTTTTGAGGGGTCTGATCTGGCCACAGTGACACATGCCTTAGTTACATCTCGGCCAGATTACTACATCGCATTCTACGTGGGGCTGCCTTTGAGCCAGATTACTACATCGCATTCTACGTGGGGTTGACTTTGGGAAGTGTTTGGAAACTTCAAAGAGTCCAAAATGCTGTAACCATATTGTTAACTGGGGCTGGTTACTGGGAACTCTGTTGCAACAGTTCCAGCGGCTGCCAATCCATTTCCGGGCACAATAGCCATCCAGAGTAGTGGCTTGTCCCTGAAATGGATGTGGTACAAATTTAAACAAATAAAATAAAAAATAAAAAAAAATCAAAGTGCCAGTTTTAACCTATAAAGCCTTAAATAGCTTGGGCCTAAGCTATCTTAGGGACGTGGTGGCACTACGGGTTAAATCACAGACGTCTCTGTGCTGCAAGGTCAGAAGACCAGCAGTCGTAAGATTGAATCCACGTGACAGAGTGAGCCCCCATCGCTTGTCCCAGCTCCTGCCAACCGAGCAGTTAGAAAGCATGTAAAAACGTGAGTAGATAAATAGGTACCACCTTGGTGGGAAGGTAATGGCGTTCCGTGTCTAGTCGCGCTGGCCATGTGACCACGGAAACTGTCTTCGGACAAATGCTGGCTCTACGGCTTGGAGACGGGGATGAGCACCGCGCCCTAGTGTCAGACATGACTGGTCTAAATGTCAAGGGGAACCTTTACCTTTACCTAAGCTATCTAAAAGACCATATCTCCCTCTATGAGCCTTCCCCTTCATAGGTGATAGGATTGAGAGATGGGGAGACCAGAGAAGGCCTTCTCTGTGGCTGCTCCCAGACTCTGGAACTCCCTCCCACAGGAGGCCAGACTGGTCCCTTCTTTGCTCTCCTTGCACAAGTTGATGAAGATCTCTCTCTTCAGGCAAACTTTTCCTTAACAATGAACTGTCTGAGAGGGTTTTTCCAAACTGGATTATTGTGCTATGTTGCTTTTAAATATATTTTTAGTATTGATTTTATTTACTGTTTTTAATATAATACTTGTTTAATTCTTTTAAAATATTTGTATACTTTTTGTTTTTAGCTTTTAAATATTGTGCTTTTAATGATGTAAGCCACCTTGGGTCCTTTTAAGGAGAAAGGTGGTCTAAAAATATTTTAAATAAATAATGAATAAATAACATTGCAAATTACCTGCACATTTCTTTAAAGAGGTTAGCATACCCAGCGCAAATGGTCTTTCCTGAGCGAAGGATATCTGCTGGCTCACAAGATGTCTTGGCATTGTTACAGTAATAGTCTGTATCATATGCTGGTGAAATGAAGACATAAATTATACATTATTCAAAGTGTGAGATACCCATGAAAAAAGTGTACAACTAATCCCCACATGAACAGCAGGGCAAACCTAATGGTAAGCCCGAATGATTCCTTGTATACTGTATTTATCAATTAAGCATATGACTCACATCCTATCAAAAATGGTGCTTATAGCAGCCACCATTTCAGATGGCTTTGTTTTATTATATCCAAATAAATATAGACATGCATTAAAATTAAATACTGATTTTAATGTTTTAAATTTTTTAAATTAGTTTTTAAAATTTTGTATTTTTTCCCCTCCCAGCCAATGGAACATAATGACACTATCAGCACACTCATGATAATAGCAAACTTGAAGTGATATATTTCAGTTGCCAGTAAGTTGGGTCCACTCAAGGGTAGTCTAAATTTCTCCCATTAGGGGACACTGGAATTCACTGGATTAGAAAATATCTTATTATACAAGAAGTATATAATGCATTTTGTGTTTGTTTTCTTTTATTCCACCTTTCTGGCTCTAAATGTTTCGGTAGAATTGAAGAGCCAGTTAAAGAGTTTTCCCAGAGGAAGTAGGTTTTTAATTGCATTTGGTTGCTTTTAACAAATTATTTTGTAAACCACTTGAGAGAGGCAAAATACTAGACATATATATATATATGGACTGATCAATCAAGTGTGCTGCTTGAATAATATTCTGGGTGGGGTAGAAGCTTGAGGCCATTTTGTTGTGTCAAAAGTCCACAGGTGGATTTTTGCTCTACAGGACAGCAGGAGCTGCAGACACCAACAGGAACTTGCCACCTGATAATGTAATCCAGCAGGGAGGAATGCATAGGTCACTAACTCTTGTTGGATTACCGCCTCCATTGTCCTGGATCACTGGCCACTCTGCTTGGAACTGATGGGAGTGAAGAGTCCAATACAGTAACACAAGGAGAGCCATACGTGCTACACACCTAATGTGGAAAATTCTCATCAGCCTAATTTACCTGAAAGATTCTTCTTCCTCTGACCACTATATAACAGACAAACATTCCATAGGTGACGCCCCTGAAGTATGGAGGTGTTCTGATGGGAAAAACCATCGCCCATGCAATGTCTTTCTCCTGTATGGTGGTGGATCAAAGGCACAAAAAGAACTCCAGTATGTTAACAGCTGCCACTGCCACCTACCTACCTACCCGCCTACTTACCTATATGATGAGTAATCCATATCCAAATGGCTCGGACTTTCTCCAGATCACTGTGGGCTTTTTGGAGCAAGGCACTCACAAGATCTTTCACATTGTCCTTGACATCAACCTGCTTTATGAAAAGCGAATATATCCCTCAAACTTAATATAGAGGAAGATTGCCCAGACTATACTTTGTACTTAAATCTGCCACTAAATGAAAGGAAGTTCCAGCTGTAATTCCAAGTAGGTTAACCAGAGCATAAACATTGGTGAATGTAGTGGAACTTACATTGGAGTAAACATGCAAAGGACTGGAATGCTATGGGACGTCCTTCTGAGGAGACATGTACTGTATAAGGTTGAGTTGTAATAACTCAGTTGTATGTATATACTCAATTATATGGGAGTGTATCCAATTGAACTTGGTGAGGCATACATCTCAAGACAGAGGAACAGGATTGCATTGTAACTGTATGAGCGCATAATTACCCTATGAAAATGAATCTGGAGATGTATCAGGGAGTTTGAAGTTGGTTTAAAGTCATGAGGTAGCCAGGTGGTGTTTTTTTTTTTTTTGTTTTTGGTATGTGTGTCATTTTGGGAAAACCTTTAATCCATTTCTAAACTGTGTTGTAGATCAATCAAAAGGGCTACATGGGCTTTTATAATGGTTGTATTTGAGGCTTTGCCCTCGCACTGGTTGCTTCTCACAGCCACCAGCCGCTGCTATTATGCTGTTGTTTTTAATTTTTAAAAATTATTTCCTGCAATCTGGCATAGCATTAGTTTAGTATGACAGATAGGAAAAAAATTAAAACATATTAGACTGCAAGGTAAAAATTATTTCCTGCAATCTGGCATAGCGTTAGTTTAGTATGACAGATAGGGAAAAAAAATTAAAACAGATTTGTTTAAGATTGATGCAGAAGCTTCAAATGGTGCAGAATGCGCCCACCTGACTTCTCACTGGGGTGAGAAAATATCAGCATATTTCCCCCACTCTGGCTGCCCTGCATTGGCTGCCCGTTCATTTCCACATTAATTTCAAAGTGGTAATGATGACATATAAAGCCCTAAACAGTTTAGGACCTCAATATCTGCCAGAACGCCTCCTCTAGATCTACCCGAACCACTTGTTCTAGCCAAGGGTCTAGCTGAGGGTCCTAATGCCAAGGGAGGCCTGGAGGGAAAGAACAAGAAACCGGGCCTTCTCGGCAGTGGCCCCTCACCTTTGGAACAGTCTGCCCACAGAGATCTGTCTGGCTCCCTCAGTGTTTTTAAGAGCAAGCTTAAGACCTGACTCTTTAGGCAGGCTTTTACTCCTGTCATCACCTAATTACATTTGCCATCTTGAATTATATTATTACAGTTGTCTTTATTTTATTATACTGTTTTTACTTTTGTGAATTATTGTTAGCTGCCCAGAGCAGACTTCAATCTAGATGGGCAGGTTATAATTTGAATAAACAAACAAACAAATTTTAAAAATTCAATTTCAAACATGCTAAACCTGATGCAAAAATAGGCTTTTAAAAATGTTTAACTGCACTCTGAGCCTTAGGGAGTAATCTTATATACAACTGTCTGACTACAAGATTTATTCCAAGATTTACTTCTAATTAGATAAGTATAGATCAATAATCAATTAAATTAACTACTAGATTTGCACACATTTTAACAGTATAAATAAACACATGAAGCAAATAGCACATGTGTTTTGTTTTCAGATAGGTGTGTGCTATTTTAGCCATTAAAATTGACTTATAGTTGATAAATAAACACTTTCTTTCTTAATAGGAGTAGCTCACGAACTAAATGGGTGGCACTTTCCCTCAAAAATATTTGGGGGTGCCCATCTGTCCTCATCATGACCCACTATTACACCATATGCCCATGCATGGAAACTAGATAAAGAACTTCCATAACCAAATTTATCATTCTTTCATCCTGCATTATCTCTGGTTTTCTGAATCAGGTTTTACCTAATTACAAGTTTCCAGAATAGTTATCCCAAAATAATACAGTATTTAAATAAATGCTTCATTATTCTTATTGCATGCAATCTAGGGATTAGGGTTTGTGACACATCTTTCTACTATGACACTTAATGTGGGTAGATAGAACGTGCCTATATGTAGAATGAACATACTGTAGGAGGCATTAACAAATTCCAAATCTACATGGAAAGTCTCACGGACACTGGTAACCCAGTGGATTCCATATAGCACTATATACCATTTTAAGGTTCAACATACCTTTGATGCATAAGCGTCTAGTTCTTTAAACTTCTTCAAATCTACTAGCATTGATTTATCCTTTGAATAATCTAGAGTGGGGGGGGAAATGTCACTCATCATTCTACAAGTGAGTCCATCAGAAAAAGTGCATCAAAGGAAAGACAAAATAGGCTTATTATAATTATGTTAAAAGAACAGAAGTGTGAATACCAAAATTACCTGAAAACAGAACATTCTTCTAATGTTCTCAAAAGTAGAAAAATGGAAATAGGAGAAATTAGAGAAACCACTTACACAATTGGCAGTGTTGTTCTGATTGCAAAGGACGAAATGGCCACAGCAAAAAAGGCAGTGCTGATCTTTGTACTTATTAGGAGTATTTCTTAGTTTACTGGTACTTTTACATAAATTTATTGTTGTTGTTGTGTTTATTTGCTTACATGTTTCATTGATTGATTGATTGATCACACCATTACTGCAAGCAACTGGACAGTTTACACAAGATTAAAACTTACAAACCCTCAATACCCTATAATAAAAATACATTCAAAAACAAGATGCCAATTAAATAGACAATCATTATAGCCATAAATAATGTATAAATTACCCTGTATTGGGCATAACAATTTTTTTAAAAAACCCCAAGGCAGTTTATAACAACATTAAAAAGCAAGAGTGGGCAATTCAGGCTGATGTAGGGGGCAAATTCTAGGAATCTGTACCGGCTGTAGAAACTGCCAAAAGTGGAAAAGAAAAGAATAGATAAGGAAATTAGAAGTTACTGAAAGTTCACTTTTCTTGAAAAGATTTGGAAAATTAGTATCAGAGGGTGTTAAAAGACTGCAACAGAGGCCGTGAGCTTAAAAAGATCAATTAGCAACCTTCCTCAGAGGAAAGGCATGGTAAAACACTTCTGAGTTCCCTGTACATTGGAAACCCTGGGAAAAGTCATCATAAGTAAGAATTGACTTGATAGCACATTATTATTATTGTTGTTGTTGTTGTTGTTGTTGTTGTTGTTGTTGTTGTTGTTGTTGTTGTTGTAAGACTGACAAGCAGATCTTTATGAAATTGTGAGCTGCCTCGTGTACCTTCACCAGGACAAAGGCAGTATAAAAAATTAACAATTGCTAATAGCTGCTGACTTGCAGCTATTAGCAATTGAATAAATTACGGCACAGCTAATATATGAATCCAATACAAAAATATCTCAGGAACCTATATGGGGAGATAGTTTATTAAGGATTACAACTGCCTGCAGTTGAATCAATGAGGCACTTTTTGACCAGTGTTTCAGACAAGGCAAAGAAAATTTTAAAATATTTTTATAAGGGACACAACTAAAAAAAATCACTTCCCCTGTCCCTTCACCAATATGTTTTTGTATTTCAATATATTTAACTGTATTGTTTATTTTAATTTTTTTAAAAGGTTGGTTGCATTTTGTATTTTAGCCATGTTCTTGCATATATGTTTGTTGCAAACTGCCCAGAGTGGCCTTTGGCTAGATGGCCAGCATAAAAATGAAAACAAACAAATAAATAGGCAACCATAACAAAGGGCAACTAATATTTACCAGGCAGGTATTGTTTCTTCGTAGTCTCTCTTTCACGCATCAGAGCACTCCACAAGTCTGTTTTATAACTTAACCAGGAATCGAACTTGAGTTGACCTAGATCAGATAAGAACATGTGACCAGTGACTCCTCATTTAAAATTCCAAATGAATTATATTCTTCTTTTTTTCAATCAGAAGACTCCTTCTCCTCCCCAAAAGGAGCAGAGGAAGATTTCAATTTGCTAATATCTTGAAGTGGTTCGCTTATTAAGCCCCTTCACGATATCTGAAATTCCAGCTGGGAGGAACCTTGACAGCCAGAAGGCTCAGGTATGGTCCATTCTCAGCAATCCCACGGACTGGCAATAGGCCAACCAGAGAAATCTTATCTGTATCAAAAATAATAATAATAATAAAAAAATAAAACAGAAGCCCCTGACAAGCTCAGAAAAGCATGGGTAGTAACACTCTGAGGAGAATGTTGTTCATTCTAGTGATTACGTGTGTGATCTTTAGAAAAAGGAGCGAACCAAGCTATCCCAGCAGCAGCAGACATAAAATGACCATTTTATCACACTTTAAAACACCCACAGGAGCCTGTCTCAAACACCCACATATAACCATAACAAACAGCAACTAATATTTACCAAGCAGGTCTATTTTTTTCAATGTGTTCATTGATGTCATCAGAGTCTCAATGTCATCCATGAGGGCATCCGCCATCAACTCTATTGTATCACTTGACCAGGAATCGAACTTGAGTGGACCTGGATCAGGGAAGAACAACATGGCCAGAGGCTCCTCATTTTAAAATGTAAATAAATTAATTTTTTTAAAAATCCAAAGGCCCCTCCTGCTCTCGGGCATATGAGAGCACGTTTCCCACATTATTAAGAGAATGAGCACCCCTGCCTCTATTTTCCTTCATCTCTTTTTTAGTTTTTAAAAATTTGGCCAGCAGAGGGCACAAGCAGAGGTGTTTTTTTTTTAAAAGATACCAATTTTAAAATGCTTTTTTTTTTCAGGGCTAGTTATATCTGTTTCCTTAAGGGCAATTGTTTCTAATCTCTTATACAGTTGTGAACTGTTCCTTGACTCAGCCATAAATTCTTCAACTAGCCTAAATCTCATGATGGGACAGGACTGTGAAAATGAGGTGGACTGAATTGCTATTCATTTCTTTCTTTCTTTCTTTCTTTCTTTCTTTCTTTCTTTCTTTCTTTCTTTCTTTCTTTCTTTCTTTCTTTCTTTCTTTCTTTCTTTCTTTCACTCATACCCCACCCATCTACAGTGGGGTCTTGACTTGAGAACTTAATCCGTATTGGAAGGCGGTTCTCAAGTCAAAAAGTTCTCGGGTCAAATCTGCATTTCCCATAGGAATGCATTGAAAACCATTTGATCCGTATCTGCTCTTTTCCGTCCATAGAAACTAATGGGAAGCTGCTATTCTGCCTTCGACCACTAGAGGGGGATATTTTGTTTCTTTTTTTCTTAGGTCAGGAAAGGTTCAGGGAAGGCAGGGAAAATACAGTCCAGGCAGTACCAGGCAGTCTGAAGACTCCCAATCCACTCTCTAAACGCTGGGAGGAGTGAGGAAGCAGACAGGCACCCCTTTCACTGGCCAACAGTTAACTGGAAGTTCAAATTTTGCACTTTCCCTGTCTCCCACATGGTTTTTTTCAGTTCATAACTCAAATCTAAGTATGTAAGTCAAGTCAATATTTTCCTATGAGAGTGGTTCTTAAGTCAAAATGTTCTTAACTCAAGCCGTTCTTAAGTCAAGACCCCACTGTAGTGGACAAGATATTACTTTGGTCAGCTTTCAAGAAAGTAACATAAATATGCAGACAAAACTGAAATAATAAACATACAAAAGCAAAAACTCACCCTGAAACCCTTCTTCACTATGTCTTTTGGCTGCATACACTGAAACTAAGTGAGGTGGGGCCTTGAGCATCTCATTTTGACTTTTCAAAGTAGATGGAACTTTCTCCCCATTCTTAGACCTGTGAAAGCACAGGCATTTTAGAAAAAGGAGTGAGTTGGATGTTGTGGATGTTGGTGTCTCTAGACTAGAGGAAAGCCTTCTTCACACGGGCTTTATCATAGGAGATATCAAAGGGTTTCCTCAAAATACCTTTTATTCTGTATTTGCCCGAAGACCCAATCTCTGTTCATTTCAGTGAGGTTTCAAAGAGAAGCTTATGGATGAAGTTCTTTCTAAAGAGTAGCATTAAAATGGCCCAAAGTGGAATGGTAGCTTACGTTGAATGTGCAAATCTCACTTCCAAAATATCTCATGAGCCCATGTTGTCAGATCCTTTTTCTAAGCCACATAAGATCCAGACGAACATCACTGATAACTATAATGAGAAAACAATGATATTTACCATGCGGGTTTTCTTTTCCAGGGCAAAGGAATTCCATTTTCTACAGTCATGGATGCGGCCAGCAGAAAGCAGAAGGAGAAAAAGTTGCAAAATCAGATAAAATTCTATTTAAAGTGAATCCAGAGAGAATTTTGCTTCCTTGGCTGCCTGTTTGCTGAACATCTCCTTCCCAGCCACTGGCTGTCAGAAGCTTACTGAGGTGGGCAATGAGCAGAAATTTTGCATCTTCTACAAGAAATGGTTGCTGGTGGAAGTCTCTGCAGATGCTCTTGGTGAGGAATGGAAGGGATATGTTGTCCATAACAGCGGTGGCAATGATAAGCAAAGCTTCCCCATGAAGCAAGGAGTCCTTACTCACATGACCATGTCCACTTGCTACTCAGAAAGGGCCTCTCATGTTACCACCCAAGGAGAATCAGAGAACGGAAACACAAATCTGCCAAAGCCACAGCTAAACAAGGTCTTACAAGTTCAGTGCTTTAATCCATCCATCTCCCCACTTGTTTTTTGGATACACTACTGGAGGACTTTTTTAACAAGCTCAAGCTATATTTCAAGTTCCAAGCCCACCACATTAGTAGAAACAAAGTTTGGGGTTGGGCATTGAATCACTAAATAGTCACAACTAAGATGACCTTCAAGGGATGTGCCATTTCAAAATGTTTTGCCTTCAAATCCCAGAATTCTCCTTTCCAGAAGTTCTACTTGATATACCCACACCTTACAGACACCTAAAGAGGGCTCACCTGGAAAAAGGCTCATCTCAAAGGTTTCAGAGCCTAGCTTCATGTTCCAGAAGGAAATTGTGCTCCCCTCCAAAAAAAAAAAAAACAAAAAAAAACTCCACTGAATGGCACATCCCTAATTCTGAAGGCCTGCCTGAGTCATATCTCTGAACCACAAAGGGATATCAGCTCCTAATAATGGGCAATCTGAAGTGCTTCAATCAGCCTAGCATAGAATCCGACCTGCGAATTTTTTTCCGAGACATATTGCAGCAAAGACATTGAAGACTAGCTCTAGGCTATCTTTTCTTTCCTTATTAATCCATTGACATCCAGTGTTGAATATACCCCCCGCCCCTTGTTTCTGTAATCCCTATGAAATATTGGTTCATCTGAAAGGGATGGGACTAAGAAAGAGCAGGGCTGTGAGTAAGAGATTTGAATCAGAAAGAGAGCTGAAGAGGCCAGAGCTGCTGTTGCCAGTTAGACTGCTATGGCCCTTACCAACTTCATCTAGGTATAATTGCTCATGTTGCCTATTATATAACTATGGATAAGAAGAGACTAGTTCCATGAAATTATGTTTGCAAATTTGATAAACAGATATCTAAGTACACAAACAGAACTTGAAATTGTTACACTTCCATACATTTCTGTTTTGCATTATTTCAATCCACGCCAGTCCTGTTGATGCTGATTTTTTAAAATCATCCATCAACCTAGTTTGTTTTCTTCCTCTATGTCTTCCTCTGATCCAAAGCCATAATTATCATATTTTTTTAAATTCCATCACCCATCTATTTGTCTCATGGTGTGGCCTGCCCCTCTCCATTTTAACGACAGCCATTTGTTCTTTTATTTGGTGCCTGGATAACTCAGTGGTTTAGGCATCTGGCTGCAGAGAAGTTGTAAACCACGTCTCTGTATTCTCTACCGAGAAAAACCTGGAACCACCTTTGTCAGAATCACTTCTCCCTAAACAGATAATGCTCTCAGGCAAGGAGTCACTGTAGGCGCAAAACTACCACTTTTAGTACCTGAGGTAGGTCCTTTAACCCTGTGGTCCCCAACCTTGGGCCTCCAGATGTTCTTGGACTTCAACTCCCAGAAATCCTGGCCAGAAGAGGTGGTGGTGAAGGCTCCTGGGAGTTGTAGTCCAGGAACATCTGGGGGCCCAAGGTTGGGGACCACTGCTTTAACCCCAGAAGTGTGTAGCCTTTGACCTACGGACAAAGCTCGACCTAAAAGAGAACTCTTGCCTACTTACAAGGCAATCCACCATTGACTGTGTGTGCTTCCTTAGACAGCACAACAGACTGGCTAGGTAGGACCTCTCTATCTAGTAGCTCTGAGTGACCTCTCAAATCTCCACTGGCTTTAGGTGCAGTCCTGCTGTTCAAGAGACCAGTCCTCTCTTGAAGAATTATATTTGTTTTTATTAAGAAAATAAAGTAGTTTCATTAGAATACAGTTGTAGCATTAAAAAGCATACAGCATGTCATTCAGGCAGTTACTATGATTCAAATAAACTTACTATTCTTAGATAAAATAATAAAGACTAAGCTATGCTTAAGTAATCATTTTAGCTCGTCTTCTACATCTTAACATCTAGAGAAGCTGGGCAAATCTCTACACCCCGCCCACACACACACCCTTCTCTTTCAAAAAGACAAACCTCTCTTCTTTCATTCCACAACATCACACCATCCATCCGTCACATACATGCACAACCATTTTTCTACATGTCTCTAGACCTCCCTCCTTCTGACACTTCCAAGCTGTCAACCAATTAAGATCAAGTGGGCGCACACAGTCCACACACACACCCCATTTCACATGAGATGTTGCAGGTGGCTTATCTTGTCTCAATTAAGAAGTATGCCGTGTTTCGTCTTCCCTTGATCTTCTTAACCTTGCTCCTTATCTCCTACCAGGCAGGCAGAGCTAATTTGGACAACAATCCCATGATTGGGATTCCTTACAAACGTGATGGCACGCCATTGTTATTATTTGTTCTTTTACATGTTATTTTTGTCTTGATCCTAGGCGACAGCCTCTCCTCAAAGAACTACAATTCTGTACACATCTCCCTGGGATAAAGTGTCACTTAACTCCGTGGGGCATAGGTCTGAACAGGCAAATACAGACAATTGTGCTGTAAAATGGAATGGCCAGCCGAAAAAATGTCACACGCACACACAGCCAGCACCCCCAGGAGGGCACAGGGGTTTCTATTCACTCTGTCCCTGTTGATTTGCTCCCTTCTTCCAACTCCTGCACCACCACTTCTCTCTCATACACATAAACACGGGGGGGGGGAGCCTGCAATCCCCACATTGCCATTTTCTTCTTTCCATTCCGTCAGTTCTCCGCTTCTTTCTTCTTTCCCTTTCAGAATCGTCGTTTCTTGCACTGTCTCAAGTGCAATAACGACGGGCCGTCATCTCCACTGGATACTACTGGACTTTCTTTTAAGTAAACAAGCCCACGTTTGCACGGTCTGTGGGACTCGCCGGCTCTCTCCTTAGGCAGAGGGAGACAGACGCCTTAGGGGGCAGAGGCCCACCCCCCCGGGTTGCTGCCGCAGAGCCATGGCACGCTGTCAGTTTCTCGGGTTTTTTCTCCCGAGTAGGCAGGCAGCTTGCCACCTTCAGCCACTAGGGAAGGGGTTAGAGAAGACAGCAGAATCACGACAAGAAGAGGGAGCTTATTATGCTGCCCCATATCCCCGTCGGGCGCTAACAACAACCACAACCATCCCCAGAGATAGACGGTTCAGTCGCCTCAGCACTCTTCGGGGACTCTTGCTTTCTGCTCTGTTTCTTGTTGGTTTACCAGCGTCGACTTCTTTCCTCCTGTCCCGCGGAGAAGGGCAAGAGTTATTATGGTTAAAGATGGTCCTTACATTCTCGCCTCTGCCTCTCCCTCTCTTATCTCACCCACAGGAACGAGCTTGCGCGCCCGCTTTCTGTTTCTCTTTCTCTTCATTTCACCCTTTTCTTTTTCTTTTCTTTTCTTTTCTTTCTTTTTGGACTTTACAAATGTTGAAGAGGCGATACCTTTATGTCTTCCTTCCTTCCTTTTTTTTTTTTTTTTGGACTTTACAAATGTTGAAGAGGTGAAACCTTTATTTAGACCACTTAAAATAGAACATCCAGCAGAAGCTTTCAGGAATAAATTCACTTCTTCAGGCCCAGTGCAGAAAAATTATCAGTGAATGTCTCAAAAATAGGTTCTGACAGAGGTCGGCCAGGTGTATTTCTCAGGTGAACTCAGAGCTGGGTTCAACCAGTTTTGAGGAGTGGGTTTTTTTTAAAAAAAAACCAACACCTTTGTTTTAATTTCAGAATCTTGTTCTCCTCCCAGCCCTGTCAGCTGCTCTTTGATGCTTATAAGTGTCTGTGGACGAGCTGCCTGTGGAGTCTTATTCTGGGGCGTTCTTGAAAGGAACCAGTGGGATTTTCCGCAGGGACTTTCCCTGGGGCTTTCCTGGATGAGGCGGTCTCGGGAAGTAGAGGCTGAGAAGATAGGGTGGATGCAGGGCACTGGGAAAGAGAGGGCGAAGAAGGTTCTCCATGTCAGGCAGCCTAACCTGTGCCCTTTTAGGCTGTTAGACTCCCAGCTCCTCTGGGTTGGGTAGAGACGGAGAGGGTAAAGAGGGTGAGCCATTTCGTTGGGTAGAGAACGAGAGCCATTTTCTCCTTTGTGGCAGGCAGCAAATGTCCTAGAACACCTTTGTTTTAATTTCAGAATCTTGTTCTCCTCCCAGCCCTGTCAGCTGCTCTTTGATGCTTATAAGTGTCTGTGGACGAGCTGCCTGTGGAGTCTTATTCTGGGGCGTTCTTGAAAGGAACCAGTGGGATTTTCCGCAGGGACTTTCCCTAGGGCTTTCTTGGATGAGGCGGTCTCGGGAAGTAGAGGCTGAGAAGATAGGGTGGATGCAGGGCACTGGGAAAGAGAGGGCGAAGAAGGTTCTCCATGTCAGGCAGCCTAACCTGTGCCCTTTTAGGCTGTTAGACTCCCAGCTCCTCTGGGTCAGGTAGAGAAGGAGAGGGTAAAGAGGGTGAGCCATTTTGTTGGGTAGGGAGCGAGAGCCATTAATGTCCTAAGTCAGCACTGGACTTGCCTACTGAGGGCCAAACTAAATGATACAGGTAACACATCATTACTGAAAACTAACTAGTGCTCCAGACAAGAGAGTCTGGCCCAGCCATGGACCCCGTAATTAGACAGGCTAATTGGGAGGCTAATTGGGGGAGGGGAGGCCACCTGACCAATCCAGCCGTCCTCTAAAGGGAGGAGGGCAATGGCTATAGGGCTACAGGAGGAGCCGTCTTCCAGCATCTGCTACTTGATACTATTGCCTCATTCTCCCTAAAAGTGGAGTCTGTCCTGCTACAATCCTTATTAATAAAAAAATATGTGCACTTTTGAAGAGGTGGTTTGAATGGAGATATTGCCCCTAAATCAGGTGGAAGAATAAAAGAGAAATGCAGAGATGAGTCAGGGATTCAAAATTTGATACAAACATATACACATAGCTGAGTAATAAGTTAGGTTTCCGGCTGTAGAGCCAGAGGTTTGAAGTTCAATTCCCCACTGTGCTCCTGGGAGAAAAGCCAGCCTTATGTAGCCTTGGGCAAGCTGCAGAGTCCCAGGAGAAGGGAATGCGCCCAGAAGAAGGGAATGCTAAACCACTTTTGAGTACTGTATACCTAGATAGCCCAGAAAAGGCTCACCCTAAATCATAGTTGACTTGATGGCACATCATCATCAAGATAAGGGTACGTGGGAAAGCTGTGAAGCTCTAGAGAAGCTGTCTAGACCTCAGCTGAGACTAGGAGAGAGGCAGGGTGCAAAAAGTTGGAAGAGAAGCAGGTGTAGGAGGGAAAGAGAGGTGGCCGGAGCCCTGGGTGAGAAAGGAGAAAGAATCTGGACAAAGCGTTGAAGGGAAACATCCGTTGGGCAACTGCTATTTCTGCCATACCTTCTTGTCAGGTGGGAAGGATCTAGACAGATGCCTCTGCAAAGTCTTCTGCCCGGCCACCTGCTTGCTGTCCTGTGCTGCTTGTCCTTGGCTTCTTTGTCTGCCTCTTGTATTTATAGTCTCTTTTGCAGATGTGTGCAGATGCAAGCAGGACTCTGCAAGCCCTCTTTCTCTTTCTCTTTCTCTTGGGCTCTTTCCACTCTGTTCTACCTTTGCCTTTCTCTCAGAATCTTGCCCACATCGCCCCACCCCAGTTTCTCTGGCTGTCTCAGCCACAATCCGATGCAGCCGGTCGTGGGAGCACGTTCCATTAGATACTATGGCAATCAGGATTCTTGAGTACACATGCACAGCCTGGTACCGTGTTCCCTTAAAATAAGAGACCTTATATGAATTTTTGCTCCAAAAAACACATTAGGCCTTATTTTCAGGATATGTTTTAATTTTTTCATGTACAACAATCTTGTTGTTGTTGTTTAGTTGTTCAGTCATGTCGGACTCTTCATGACCCCATGGACCAGAGCATGCCAGGCCTTCCTGTCTTCCATTGCCTCCCGGAGTTGTGTCAAATTCATGTTGGTCGCTTCGATGACACTGTCCAACCATCTCGTCCTCTGTCATCCCCTTCTCCTCTTGCCTTCACTCTTTCCCAATATCAGGGGCTTTTCCAGGGAGTTTTCTCTTCTCATGAGATGGCCAAAGTATTG